CCGTGGAGTCTATTCTGAGCCACAGCGCCCCTAGAGGACAGAGTGGAACTGCCCACAGGGTCTCCAAGGCTGTCAGTCTTCACAGAAGCAAAGCCCAAGCCACACCCACTGCCGTGGAGTCTATTCTGACCCACAGCGCCCCTAGAGGACAGAGTGGAACTGCACCACAGGGTCTCCCAAGCTGTCAATCTTCACAGAAGCAAAGCCCAAACCACACCCACTGCCATGGAGTCCATTCCGACCCACAGCGCCCCTAGGGGACAGAGTGCCCACAGGGTTTCCTAGGCTGTATTTTTTACCAGAGCCCACTGCCAGGTCTTTCTCTTCTGGAGACACTGGGTGGGATCGATTCACATTATGCCACCAGGGCTGCTACAAGACTTTTAGAGGCCCACAAAAAATGTTTTCATTGTTTTCTTGAACCAGTAGAAAGAAATTATTATAACCCAGCTTGGATAAATTCATCTTTATACCAAGGCAATCATGAAAAAGAACTTTAATCACTTTTTTGGAGCAAGGGGTCCAGGGAAGCAAAGATGCCTACGGCCCATGAAAATACTTTAATTTCTTTTAAAATCAGAAGGAAAAATGAATACAACCCAGCTTGGATTATATTCATCTCCTACCACGGCAGTCGTAAAAGATAATTGTTAGTAATTTTTTTAGAGGAAGGGGTCCATGGATGCAAACGTGCCTAGGGCCCTAAGACTTTTGTTGTCGGTGCTGGGTAGCAGAGTCGATTTTGACTCCAAGTGACCTTATGTGACAGAGCAGCACTGCCCCGTAGGATTTTCTCAACAGTAGTCTCTTATGGGAGCAGATCGCCAGGTCTCTGTGAAGCCACTGGGTAAGTGTGAACTGCCAACCCCTCAGTAGCAGCACTTAACCACTGTACCACCAAGACGCCTCTGAGACTTTAGTGGCACACAAAACTGTTTTCATTTTTTTTAATCAGATGGAAAAAAATGATTATAGTCCAGCTCAGATTATATTTATCCCTATACCAAGGCAATCACAAAAAATAATTTTTAATATTTATTTTATTTTGTGGAGGAAGGGGCCCATGGAGGCAAAAGTGCCTAGGCACCACGGAAGTCATACCATGGCCCTGTCTCTGGCCACTGAACCCTGGGTATTGACAAAGCAACATGAGAACCCAGTGGACCCTGCAGGCCCAGCCTCATCTCTCCCAGCCCTCTAAGCCTCTGTTTCCTCCTTCAAAGGTAGATGCCACCACTGTGTTGGTACATGTCAGTGGGTGTTCACTGAGCAGCTACTCAGTGCTGAGCACTCTGCCAGGCAAAATCCCTGCTTTCCTGGGCCAACATTCTTGTGGGTGTCCCAGCTCCATTTTTGTATGATGACACTGAAGCTTCTGTGGGGTCACATAGGAAAGGTGCCGATACAGCAGAGACTGAGCCAAATGTCCCTGGTCATTACTTCACCACTAGCCTCTTGGCCAGTCTCATGCCGGGGGGGGGGGGTAACGACTCAGGGACAAGGTGACCTATAAGTGGCCCCTGCAACTCAAGCCAATAGTTTTGCTTGCTCAGTCCTAAACTCTCTTTGCAGGGAGCAGTGAGAGACCCCAAAGTCCCCAGGGCACCAGATGATCTTAGAAGGGAGATAAGAACTTAACACTCTGTTAGGAACACTGAAGGAGAGCTTCAGACTGAGGACTGGGTTGTTTCCTAGTTTTAAATGTTACTCCTCTCCCACTCCATACTCCTCTGTGGCTCTTCATTGCCCTAACTTAAGGCTCTTACATTATAGTGGACACAGAGAGCCAATGAGCAAAATCCATATGTGAGACCGTACTCGCTGCATACAGCTCCTGTCAGGAGACACCAGTTTCCTTTCCATGGCTCAACTTTTCAGCCATGGAAGGCCTATAAAACATGCACCCCTTAGACCAACCAACCACATGAGATCAAAAGGGAGCACTTGTCCAGGGATAAAGCTCAGAAGGCAGGAGGGGAGAGGAGGGGAGGAGGGAGGGAGAAGTGGGAAGAGTGCTGTTACATTGTGAGGATTGCAATCCATGTCACAAACCAAATCAGTGTCTGAACTGTTCAAAGAAAACCAATTTGCTCTGTAAACTTTCACCCAAACCACAATGAACAGTTAACAAAGCAGATCTATCCAAAGGCAGTATGGGAGAGTCAGAGAACTTTCTAGACGACAGAACTCAGATGCAGAGCCAGCCCAGGCCCTCACACACAGGGGACTGCCAGTAAATATTTGTGAAGTAAAACGTGTTGTCCAGCCTGTAAACGTTTTGTTCTAAAACCAACCACCCAGAATGCCCAGCCTTGCAAACAGCTTCTTTCTCCATGGAAAGAACCATAGATCCAATCATGGCATTTCCATCCTTTATGGGAGTCGGGACCCTGCTGTCCACAGAGGTCCTTCCATGTGGGCTCTTAAGTTAGAACATTGGGACCAAACCAAGCAGTCTCCTTACCCTATTCAAAGCGTCCTGGGCCCAGGTGACAAAGAGCCCCTGGACCTCCCCAAGCCTGTCCCTCTAAGGGGTTTCCACAGAGAAGGAAGCCATGTAGGGGCCAGGATTCAGACTGTGAGGAGGAAGAAGGGCTTTGCAAAGCCTAATGCTTTGACTGCTATGAAGGGGACGGAGGTGGGCCTGGTTTGACTGGGGCCGGGGACATCCAGCTAGCGGCAGGAGAGATGCCTGCAGAACTGGGCAGCCGAAGGGAGAGCTGAGGCATCAGACAGCCATCTCTGCTGGTGAAATGCAAGGGGTGGACGCCCATTTCCAGCTCAATATCTTTATGCTTCCTCCCTAATGAAACCGTTTTTGTGTGGGACCCAGACAGGCAGCTACGCACAGCCCCCTGGAGTTTGTCTTCCTGCTAAGGTAGTAACTCAGAGCCGGTGGCCCAGGTGGCCGCACGGAGGGCAGCACTGCGGGAGGGCCTTCTGCCTTCAAGCCTGCATCCTGACGTTTGCATGGAAAGGTAATGTTCTCTTCCCCAGCGGCATGCCCTCGGTTAGGTATTTGCCCTCCAGATGGCCGCTGATGCTGCCCAGCGCCTTAGGGGCAGCCAGGCCAAGTGTGTGGGGTCCATCTGGTCCCAAAGGGCTGCTCGTCTCCACACAGATTAATCACTGCCTGCACCTCAGCTGGCTTGTTTCGGGGCAGAAACCCCAGAAGTCTGACCCCCAGGAACCATCCATGAAAGCAGAAGAGATGTCAGGCTGCTTAGAGGGTCACATCACTTGCTGAGAAAACACCTGTCCTTTTATCTTTTCTAACTTCTCACAGCAACATCCCTCAGGGTAAACCTGGCAGTTGGGATAAAAGGTATCTGCCCAAGATTGCAAATTAAAATGGAGGCGGGAAGAGGCGTGTAGACAGAGGACCAAGCCAAGCTCCTGAGTGCTTCTGAATACAGAATGTGGCGGTCTGGGCTTCCTTGCGGTTCGGGTGTCTATGACGGTGCCTCCTGAGGCTAGCTTGATGATGGTTTATCTAATCCTTGTAGCAGCAATGGGAAGTGGACAGCAGTGCTACCCCAGGCTACAATGGAGAACTGAGGCTCAGGGAAGTTTATCCCTTTCTTACATCCATGTTAGCAAGTGGCAGAGCCAGGGTTCGAGTCCATCTCTGCTCAGCTCTAAAACCTGACCCCTTCCAACTACTCCATGCTGTCCTTAGGTGCTGCTCACCCTGCTTTGGCAGTGCTCGGTGTTTCTAAGCCAGATTTTGTAAGGTACTTACTGTCCACGATAAGGGTTACAAGTGCAGATGCTTGGGGCTGGAATCACCCTAACTTGGTGACCTTAAGCTCTCTGAGCCTCAGCTTCTTCATGTGGACAGTGGGGACACTGCTGAATGCTCCACAAAGACTTATGGTGAGGATTCAAAGAGGAACAGGGGTAAAGTGTGGAGATAACGCTGGCACACAGAACTGCCCGCTGTTGGCCATCAGCATGTGGTTACTAAACACGGGTCCTGCCGTTGGCCCAGCTCCTGCTGTGTGCGTTCCTCCAGGTGCTGGAGATTAAAGACCCTCCCACCTGCTGAGTTAGTTCTGACTCACGGGCCCCCCACGTTACACAGCAGACCTGCCCCATGGGGTTCCCTTGGCGGTCATCTTTACAAAAGCAGTTCACCAGGCCTTTCTTCTCAGAGCCGCTGGGGGAATTAACAGCCAGACTTGAGGGTAGCAGCCGACGCAAACCCCTGTGCCACCTCGCTCCTCGCTGCAGACAAGACATGAAGGAAAAGAGCAAATTCCTCACCTCCACAGAACTTACATTCTGAGCATCCCGGCTCCATCTTTCTAGCTGAAGACACAAATTCAGGAGACCTCCTCTCTTTCCAGAGGCCTCACCCCCAACGACCCTACCTCCAGGGGCAAGATGGGTCTGAGAATTGAGACGACGGTCTCAATTTCCCTGGGGTAACCACTTGAGACCTGGTCTCTTCACTGCCTCCTTCAGGTCTGGTTGTTTTTCCCACTGCTGAGTCCCCTGGCGTTGCGGTCCCATTGC